GTTTTCTTCTTTCATTCCCTTTGTTTATATCTTCCCCTTGTTTTCTTCTTACGTTCCCTTTGTTTATATCTTACCCTTGATCACTGAATATTGTAGGATCGCATATGCTACCAATATGTTCATTTGAACCAAATTCATGGCCCCATACCAAAACTTTGTATTACCTTTAAACAAAGGTTGTTATTCTTGACAACCTGAAAGCCTGCCCGAGGCATGCTCGACATAGCAGACTGGATTCCAAGTTTTTATATTTCATTCATTAATAACAGTTTAATGGAATAACTCGTCACTATATATAGGTCCCATGAAAGAAACATCCATACATTTGAATATGTATAGTAAATCGGTCTATTGAGAAGAGAGAATCTTGATAATAACAATATCGCCAAATGTTTCAGAAGATCTTTCATTGCATCAGAATCAAAGCAGACGTCAAACTATGCAAGTATAAGAAAAGACCATAATCACGATATTATAGAGTCGTTGTAATAATATTCTTTCAACATGCACCTCCCCTATCTCAACAAAATCCTATAGTCTGATTCGATGTCATTGTTTTGGGTCTCAATACACCGAGATATTCTTTCGAATTCTATCCCGAAGTTAATAAGATCGTGGCTTTCGGGAAATCAATTCAAGGATAATTTTTATACCCTATCTTATATCCCATAGAAATAATGTTCGGATCGCTTATACAAGTCATGTACATTAAAGATACTATGGCCCTGCGGCAGCCAACATAAAATTCTTTAGAACTTTGCAGGAATTATAAATATGTCATGTATGTCCTATCTGTGAAATTTAAACGTTAGCAGTGTCCTAATATTAAAATTATGCAAGGAAACCGGTTTACTTGTAGACTTCACTGTCAGACACTATTGAGTGACTGACTGGCTTTTTTCTTCTTTGGTAATAACAAAAATAAAATGAGCTGTAAAGGGTACATGGGCATTTGTCTACGTCAATAACCCACTTCTTGTGATGGCCAAAATTAGACTGATTGAATCTTTGCACAGCATTAAACGTATGACCATTCGCCACAATGGTCTGAAAATCAAGACTATTACTTATTGGCTCTATAGCTCCCAAGTGGATTTGACAACTAATAGTCGTTATTTTCCCATTTGAAGACATTTTCAAGCCCCACCTTTTTTAGGGAAGTTCTAAATTAGTATTATCTTTCAAATGCCGTTGGAATTTAACCATTTCATTTTTTGGCCTGCAAAAGGGACATAGTACCTTTAACAAGTTCATTGGAAATAATTTGGTGTATATATATATATATATATATATATATATATATATATATACCTGCAACACTGAAGTGGCGATCCGTCCTTTTAATAAGTGCATTGGAATGAAAGCAGGAACATGAGGGATATAGAATGGCAAAGTATGAAATTAATCCGACCAATGATAAGAAAGTTATTTATAAATGTTTGAAATATGAGATCACTACATTAATGTTTATGCATTCACCCTTGGGTGCTGCTCAAAATATATTACTTTTCTGGAGAGTATAGGTCTTCTAAAAAGAAGAGACCATCCAAGTTATACATTTCTGAAATATTGCAATTTTTAGTCCTTTTGTATGTTGGAAAGTTGTCCGCCACTTTAGGCTATATATACATTACCGAAACAGTACCGATTTAGTCAATTTAAAGAACCCTTACCTACAGTGTGAGTCAAAAAAAAAAAGTTTACACCTAGAAAATTACTAATCATTTTAAGAAAACACATATGAACAGTAAATTATTATACATCTTATGAACGAGTCTTTTATCCCACATCATTCGGTATCATTTTTGTGTGGTATGTGTTCACGCTTGAATGAACAGGAGGCATCGTTTGCGAGAGTGCAAAAATCGACTTGCGCCAAAGTTGCTTATGTGATGTTTGAATAAAACAATTGGGATTTGGGTTTTTATTTGGTCTTTGCAGATCAAAATAACCTCCGTAACAAAATTAATCATGTCACACATATCAAATATCTAATATCAAATATCAACGAACATTTTGTGCGCGCGCGTGTGTGTGTGTGTGACTTTGCTTCTGCAAAAAGCATATGCAATGCATTTCATTTGATACATTCAATTCATTCCCTCACTCCGCTAATCCCAACATTACATACTACTGTAGGCATCACTTTGGCGCAAGTCGATTTTTGCACTCTCGCAAACAAAGCCATGTTCATCCAAGCGTGAACACATACCACACAAAATAGATATCAAATGATTTGGGATAAAACACTCTTTCATAAGATGTATAATAATTTACTGTTCAAAGATGATTTTAAAAATAATTCGGAATTTTTTAGGTGTAATTTTTTTTTTGACTCACACGGTATAGAGATTGCAACTTTCAGAAGTTCATAACTTTCTCATTCGTGCCGCTAGACGAACTCACATCTCCTCTCTGCTTTCTTCTAGTCTAGTAGCCTGTCAAGTTTGGCTCATAACTGTTCATGCCTATTCAGGTGTTTGTGTGTATTAGATTGATCCGGTGTAGACACGGGCGTAAATCTGCAATTGATACCTATTGTTCAGGGGGGGGGGGGGTGATCTATTCATTCATCCCCTGAACAATAGGGATTACGTAAGGATTTACGCCCATGGGTGTAGATCATACATGGCGAGAGGAAAATTACATACGTTTGGTCCCATTGGGATACGTAATACGCCATTGTTATGTCCGCACATTTTATGTAAAATTGCCTTAGATTGACTTCATCGGAAATCGTTTCGATTGAGTTAGTTATTCAGATTTGATTTTGATAATTGAAAAACATTGAGAAGACTATTCGAAATTCTAATCCGAAAATCCGTATTGCCGCCATTGTGACTTTTAATTTTCATGTAGATACTTTGTAGGGGGTGTAGGGAGGGGGTGAGCAATGCTTCCAAAACATGATGGCAAGCAAGCAGGCAAATGAAATAAGAAATAGAAGCTATCAACATTTTGCCAGATATAGCTGTTTTTCGAAATAGAACGTGCCCCTGCCCCCCCCCCCCCACACACCCATATCTCTGCCCTGTGTCTATATACTGTCGTCTCGTTGACTTGAAGAAAATAATCGAATCAAGCGCAATTTGTGTATTGCGTTTAGGAAACACTCGGAAAAACAAGTCATTGTAACGTTCGCAAATTCGGTAAGTATGGTAACGCATGAGTTCTTTGCAATCGTGTGGATAATTAAATCACACTGAAATGCCTTTTAATATGATTAAGGATAGGTAGCTGTCACGATTATAATGTATCAATTGTTTTGATGGCTATCTGCATGGGGAAATTATGCCCCGCCATTCTAAAAATATAAAAATGTAAACCGTTTGAATTTTGAAAGGGCCGAGGAGATACAACATTTTCAAGATGATAGAATGGCATTTCTAACATGTTATATTCACCTTAAAGGTTGAATATAATAATGCTAAAAGTGTAAAACTACCATTTTGGGGATGTTCAAACTCCTCGGCCCTATTTGAATAAAAAGGTAATTTAACATTTGAATTTTGAGAGATTTTATAGGCCTATAATTACAAGCAGGTGCGTTTCTCAATGATTTTAATTTTGTTAATTTATGGGGGGGGGGGGGGCTTATTAGGTGGATTTGGGGAATTTCAGGGTTTCTACATTAATTTGTTTTGCTATAATGTCTCTCACTTTTATCAATTTATGCATGGGCAACTTAAAAATTAAAAAAATTAACATCTTTTTTGGAGGGGGGGGGGGTGAGAGGCTTGAGTCCACGAAGTCTCATCCTGCTAAACCATAGATGAAGATATGAACGTCTGACTGACATAATCATGATTTATGTTCTGGTACATCAAACCACAAGAGGACAGGGGGCGGATACGAGGCAGGAAGGGTCAATGCAATTAACGTCGCCGTCCCAGACAAGGATCCAAACGTGACCAGTGCAGTTAATCATGCTGGAGAAAATATAAGAAATCTTAGATGTTGGTAGTTGGTGAGACCTTTAAATCCTGTCATGGATTTGAGGGAAAAGATGGCGGGAGGTAAAAAGAAGAAGAAGAAGAACTTAAGAAGAAGAAAAACAAGAAGAAAAACAAGAACAACAAGTACAACAAGAAGAAGAACAACACGAACAAGAACTAGAACAAAAGGCAAAAACAACAGCAACAAAACGAAGAAAAAGAAGAAGTAGAAGAAGAAAAAGAAGAAGAAGAAGAAGAAGAAGAAGAAGAAGAAGAAGAAGAAGAAGAAGAAGAGGAAGAAGAAGAAGAAGAAGAAGAAGAAGAAGAAGAAGAAGAAGAAGAAGAAGAAGAAGAAGAAGAGAAGAAGAAGAAGAAGAAGAAGGAAAGAAATAGAGGCAAATGTCACTATTTACTCAAGTTTACGATCTTTATTCACTTCTCTGTTTTGTGTTTGGGTTAAACGTGTCAATAAAGTTAGAAAAACAGAAAAAAAAGAAAAAAAACAGGCCCCTAACACGTTTATATGCTAAATTATTTGTTAGCATATAGGCTTTTTAATCAAGTCAAATATATTCGCCATTCGAGCTAAACCGTTTCTGAAAAGATTTTTACATTTTTTCTGTTAATTTTGTTGTTGTTGTTGTTGTTGACACGATTTTTTTTTCCCCATCATCATTATTATCCTCATCAACAACATCATCATCATCATCATAACTTTTATTTGTATCACAATTATCTGATTTATTTTGGAAAACTCAGGAATGGGGCGACTGGGATATGGTAATTTTGAAATTCAGAATTTTTAATTCAAGTATACGTAATGAATAATGAAGGAAAGAAAGAAAATAAAATGAATGAATAATCAAATGGTTGGCATACACGCATACATTCCTTCTTTGTTCCCATTTGAGATGAATTATTGATGAAATAAATATCTTCCTATTATTGGTGTTCTTTCGTTGGTTAGTCATATTGAAAGAAGAAGTTCAAAGTTCAAATGATAAACGGGCAAATTTCTTTGAGCATGCACAACTCCGTGGCTTATACGCCCTCTATCGCGATACGTCAGCACAGCTTTTTTTATTCCAAGATGTCAGCGCCCATGTGAAATGTGCGTTTCGTGCTGTTGTTGTGAAATAACGTAGAAAGAGACGAAGTTTGCTCTGGTCTTTTTGTCGAACTACGTGTCCTGAGTGTCTATCATATTGAAAGATGGCAACATCATCGGGAAAGACAAAGAACGTGGGGAAATCGAACCGTCTGAATGATGGGAAAAGGTAAATTTAGTGTGGTCCGGCTTTCACTTTCAGTTTCACTCATGACTTCATGTAATGTCCCCACATGCTTATTTTGTTGTCAGCATTTGTTAGTATTATGGCCCACTCAGAATGAAGCAGTCCTCACACATAGCTGCATCACTCCAGCAAAGCATAGAGAGTCAATGCTACAGCGTATTGACCTTTAGCACTGCATCTATGCTGTGAGGCTGGGACCTAGAAGTCTATACACAAATATACACACCACACAAAACTGCATAGACTGTACACAATCATGTCGATGCAGCTGTAAGCAAAGTTTGACACTAGACTTACAATTTTAATTTTTAAATTATTCTTTTTAACATCAGTAAGTTGAAAAAAATGTATTTTACTGCTATTTAGGTGTCATCAATTGTCACTAAAGTACCGATTTTTAGTGAAATTAGTTGAGTTTTGTACAGTGGTGTTTGAAATGTTGAGAATCAAAAGCATAGCTTTTACTACACAGCCAGGATAGTGATGCTCCTATGTGTGAGCTGCATTACTATCCTGGCTGTGTATTAAAAGCTGTGCTTTAGATTCTCAACATTTCAAACTCCAGTGACACCACTGTACACAACTCAACTGATTTCACTTTAAGTTTAGTGACGATTGATGACACCTAATTTCCATAAATAGACTAGCAGTAAAATACAATTTTTTCAACTTTTCAACACGATAGTTAGTTTCCCGCTACATTTTTCCAGCTCATAAATAGCACTATACATTGGCGAGAACTTGGAATATGACTTTATTTCTAATTGAAAAGATACGAGAGTGATCTAAGATCATTTAAACAATTTTATATGATTATTTTACTTTGCAGGAAAGAGGAACTGCTGGTAGGGGCAAGGAAAAGGGTTGAGTGTGAGAAAAAGGCAATGAAGATTGTGGAGCGTCTTCTAGAAGAGTCCATCTCCGAATCGTTCTTTGAGGATTGCGTAAGTAGTATGACCATCACAGTTACTAAGAGCAAATACAGATAAGGATGACTTGATTACACTGATCAAAGTAACTTTAGTCCAACCCGACTAAATGACCACCTGTATAGAAAGACCACCAGTCTATTCTTAAAGATAACCAGTTTTGCTTGCGTTGATCCATGTCTCTTAGTATAATCTGTATAAATTGTATAAAAATTACCAGTTGCTTTTCTTGTTTCCCTTGATTTGTCTTTATAATATATTTAACAACTATTTTTCGAAGGAAATAAAGTGATTGTCATAGGCATAAACCTTGAACTGCTTGAAAAAGTTATTTTTTTCTTCATTTTTACAGATGCTGTGGACCAGCTAGAGCCATCAGTAAGATGAGAAATGACCTTCAAATGAAATGCATATTATAAATAGTTTTGATCTATCATGTACAAATTGTCAACTATGCAACATATCTTGCAAGTAATGTCCTCTCCCATTTGGTCTGTACCCCCCCCTTAAATATTAATCTTCTCCTTAATCAAACTTTTCCCATATAACCATTGCACAGTATACGTTCTTACCCAACCTGTGTATGTACAAATATTGATCCTTCATCAGCAACTAAGAATTAGGAGGTCACAAACTCACACTTTCACTACTAGTCTGTTTCCCTCATTTTTCTAATATAAAAATAAGAGAAGTAAATATCAGGATGGACTTCCCCTTTAAACATTTGTAATGTTTTATGCTTCTCACTGTGTTGTGTCTTGCAGGGTAAGTACATCACCAGTAACCAGTTTGAAGATGTAGCTGTGGAGAGGGCCATAGAGAAGCTGTGTGGGTATCCCCTGTGCACCAACAAACTCACCAGCATCCCAAGACAACAATACCATATCTCACTCAAGAGCAAGAAGGTCTTTGACATCACAGAACGGAAGGTAGGCATAACCTTTGGTTCAGATGGTTGTATAAATCTGAAATCATTCATCAAAGTTGATCTCCAATATTGGTTACCGATTACTGAACAATTCAATGTGTAATGTTTATCTAAATCTTTGTATATTTTCAAGCTAAATCATTGGTATATTTCACCCTGGTACCAATTCCACATTCGTGGTTTTAAAATTACATTTTCTTGTAATGATTTTCATATGTCTGATTGTTTTTTTACCAGAAATCCATTTTAATTTTTTAGAGCTGTTCTGAAGGTTTTCAGAAAAACATTGCTCTCTTATCCTGCATATATTGACTAAAATGTTACAGTGTATTATATAGTACAGAATTCATTTGAAACAATAATGATAATAAATAATATGTAATTTGTTAGATTCATAAGGTACTGAGAGACAAAAATCTGATGTCGTCTAGACAACAAATATTATCACGGAAGAAAATAGTCTTTAAAAGACCTCATAATGATGTCGTAATAACGTCATCCATATGACAAAAAATAAATGATAAATAATAGTCTTTGAAAGACGTCATATGACCTCGTCCACTCAACAAAAATGATTACAGAAGAAATGAAAATCTATAAAATAAGACATAATGAGATGTTAAGGACGGGACAAATGGCAAGGGGGGACCCTTGCATTCTGTGTCGTCCTTAACATGTCTATTACATTGGCAAAAAAAAAAATCAACAACTATTTGTCATTAATGTTTGTCGTATGGACGACGTTATTACGAAGACATCATGACATCTTTTAAAGACTTTGATTTCTTCCGTTATCAATTTTGTTGTGTGGACGAGGTCATCAGGCAAAACTGTTAAACAGGATTTTAGATGTTCAGTGGCGCTAAGGCAATTGCCAAATACGTTAGCCCAAGTGAAAACTGTAAAGTCCCAACTTTTGCTCCCTCTCTCTCTCTCTGTGCTCTACTTGAAATAGAACTTTTGTAGTCAGAGATGTTTCCAGGCTCACGCATATTATCAGACTCAACTCAGCGATGAACCTGTCTGGGCAAGGGAGCATAAAAAGTAAGAGAGCTTTGTGTTTTGTGGAAAGTAGAAGTAGAAGTAGAAGTGTCGTGGTGGAGTGGTCTAAACACTTGACTTGCAATTCAAAGGTCGTGGTTCGATCCCCGATACGGCACTAATGTCCTTTGGCCAGGCATTAATCTTCATTTGCCACACTCGACCAGGTGAGGTAAATGGGTACCTGGCAGGAAATTAATTCCTTGAAATGCTAGAGTGCTGTAATTGCAGCTAGGCTTAAAGCCGGGGTAATAATACATGCGCCTCGGAATAGAATTTCTAGGTAGACGACGCTATAGAAATACCTATAATTATTATTATTATTAAAGTCGTGGGAATGGATAAAAGAATCTTCCAAAGTCATAGAAAGTCATGACAATTGATTATGGGTATGGGCAGTGTTTGGTTATGGCAGACTTCCAGTTTGGACTGACCATGGGCATTGTAGCATTCATATCATCAATCATTCATATTCTCATTTAATGTCATAACTGACTGTTTTATTGTGGTATTGGAAAGCAGCTTGGATGCCACAACCCATACCAAAATGATACTCATCTGATCATGGAAAGAGGCAAAAAAGGGCCATGGAAAGTCAGGATAAGTTATGGAATTTGGTTCTCAAATTTCTGTGGGAAATGTATAGCAACATGTATAGAGACATACTGAAATGTGAAGCATTTTACAATTACATCATATGAAAATGGGTTCAGTTCTGACTCTTATAAAAAACGTTAATTTTCACGGAATTAAAAACGATGACAACTGACTGCTCAAGACTCCTTGTGAATAATATCTGGCAATTTGTTGCATTTTATTTCCTACTTTGTTGATGATTACTAGTTAAAGTAAACCTGGCCAACTCACCGAATGATAAACAAACTGAATGACGTGAACAGTTTTCTTCAAAATTTACCATTATTACCAAATCTCAAGATTATTTTTTGTTGATGTAATATTTTAATCTTGTATTCCCAGCATACCTCCTATAAAGCTGTTTGAGAATGATGCCAGCGCAGCCACCAATGCACCTCTGAAGCATCCACATGAAATCCCATTGAAGCACAAGATCACAATGCCAGATGTGGACACTGTCTCAGAGCGCACAGCAGAGGGCGCTGGTGAAGGAGAGAAAGGACTGCATTTGGGGGTTTCTGGATTGAGTTTGGACAGGTCAAATGAAGGGGTGGATGGTGGGAGGAAAGATAAGGATAAGAGAAGAGAAGAGATGCTCAGGAGGGTTGCAGAGTCTGTGGAAAGACCTGCAAGGGATGGACAGAGAGAGGAAGTGCAAAGTTCTGGGAGTCATGTGGAAGGCTCCAGTTATGCTGTTGAACCCTCTTCAAGTGTTACTGTTGGTCAGGAAGACATGAAGCATACAGTTACTCCAGAGGAACTGCATCTGTCCAACCAGGTCAAACCAGTTCAGACCTGTTCTGCCAGTAATATTGTCAATGAGCGCCTTGTAATGCCAAACAATGGGAATACAGATGGAGACTGGAAGGATGAACCAAACCAGATAAATCCAGTTCAGATTGGATCAGAAGAGAGTAAGGACACAGATGTTGCTTTAGGAGAATCAGGGAGGAAAGATAATGTGGGTGATTTAACTGCGCAACCAGATGATCATGGTGTTACAGTAAAAAAAGAGGAAGCTGATGAAATTCAGCAAGAGAAGACAGTTTCCTCCACAGATACAAGAACAAGTAAGGAGAAGAAAAAAACAAAGAAGAAAAAGAAGAAAGTTCCTGTAGCTGAAAACACAATGCTTGTAATTCTGCAACACATCCAACAGTGCCTCATGGAATGGAGAACGGTTGAAACATTGAGATACATCTATGGTAGGAGTTCATCTCAGTCTGGGAATCAAGGTTGCATTGATGAACCAGTCCCTGACACAGTGCCTGAAACAGACCCTAACCTAGAGCGCAAGAAGATGGCTCTCAAGGAGTTTGAGAAGCGGGCAGGGGATCGTCTTGACCGGGAAGAAATAAAAGAGGGCGCCTTTCCTGCACCATCCAAACCACTGCCAGACTTTGAAAGTCTGCGCAGGGAGGAAGAGGAGAAGTATGCCTTGAAAGTGAAGGAGTACTTTATGGGAAGGGAGATGAAGACTCCTTCCAAACCTGCAACGGAAGAAAAAGAAGAAGAGCCAAACAAGGTATGTCATTCATCCTTTACCTTTACCTCTTTACCGCTCGCATGAGAAATACACAGATGATTGCAAGCTCTTAGTCACCTCATCTACCTTGTTTGTGTTTTTGATTCCTACTAATTGCACTTTTAAGATGTTTGTACAGAGCGTTTTCTTCTTCATATATTATCTGTCATATGAGCAGAGTTACAAGAAATATGGATCTATGGAATTTTCCACAAAATTCTTTACCTGTTTCCTGCAAGTACTAAAAATGCAAGAATACTGAACATCCAAAGAAATATTAGAGGGCGACTCTTTATTTTCTTACATAAATAGAATTGAACACAATTCACCTTTATTAATCTTTCTCATTACATCTTTATATGTACATGTATACATACATATTTACAATACGTACAATTTAATAACCAAACTAATGCAATTATACTGTATGATGTTTTGGAAAGTCTAAACATTTTTTTGGTGTCTATCGTGTGAAGCCTCCAACGAATTGGTCTAGAATTCTATAATTGTCTCATATACATGTACTCTTCCAGTTTTAAATATCAAGGCGAACCATGAAGAAAAAAATGAACCAAGATAAAAACTACTATAAGATCTTAATTGTACTGTACTGGTAACTGATAAATTTATCTTTGTATATCATGTTACAGCTTGTAGAGAATACCGTCGACAGGACAGGAGGTCTCCCTCCTGTGGATTCAAGAGCACAGGTTACCATTAGACGCAGGATCTTACTGGACAAGCTAACTCAAATGTAAGCATTCGTTCATGTGAACCTCTCAATCTTGTGTGCCCAATATTTTTCATATTTTTCTACTTGCTTTTGTTGGGGGGGGGGGGGTGTTGTATTGAAAGGATAGAGAAATGGTGTAGAAAAATAATGATATATCACTTTTAACAAATGTTTATCTGTGACAGTTTTAATATGTAGGGTTCAGACAACTTCCTCAGATGTGATAGACTGAGACTATCTGCCAATTTTCCAATTACCAAAAGATGCCAATTTGGCAATTGCTCTGTCGTAAATGTTAGACGACTGGTATATGCACTCCTGTCTCAGTTCATATTCAGTGGTAGAGCAGTGGTCTCCGAACTGGGAGGTCCTGAGTCCAAAACCAAGTTAATGTGCTAGGGCACTTTGGTAAGGCCTTTATCCTTATTACCACATCCCTGGGAGAGGACTAAAAGCTGTTGGTCCCCTGGTTGTTTACATCCAAGCATGCAAATAACAAACTATCAGACACTATAAGGCCTTTGAAAAAAAGATGTTGTATTGCCCTTTGCGACCAACCCAAACTTTTTGAAATCTACCGTCGGCTTTTTAAAAAAGTCTCTTTTTTTACTGTTTTTTTTAGAGAAAAAAATATTAGAGCATGCAAAACTGAGAAATATCAGATCAAAGACGGAGAAAGAAAGAAAAAAAACTCTGACTGACCGACCGACCGACCCAGGTTTTGGCACCTAAATGGCAATACAACATCTATTTTTTGTTGGGCCTTATGCATAATTCCCTTTCAATATATACATGTAGTATGTGATCATAAATACAAATTTGTTGCATTTGGCAGCTTGCCAGGCATTGCGGTCTCTCTCCAGCTCTCTGTCCATGAGGTCAGTCCGATGATGACCGATCTTGTAAGAACATTCCATCCCGGCAGTCATAACATCGTCTTCAAACCCCTGGCTTGGAATCTAATGACTCTCATCCTCATTCATATGTAAGTACACACACCTCAGTATTTCTGTTTAAAGGCACATAGTCATTGGTTCTCATGGTAACTTGAAATCATTTCGGTGTCAAGTAATAGTAATAGTAATAATAATAATGATAATATTCGGTTCTTGTATAGCGCATATCACATTTTAACGTCTCTATGCACTTCCAAATTTGGAAACTGTTACTCCGGCTTTAGCCTAGCTGCCATTGTGGCGCTCTGGCATTTCGAGGAATGAGTAGTAGTAGTAGTACATGTATATTTACTACTAGAAGTAGTAGTAGCAGCATTTATTGGATAACTTGTCTAGCACAAGCCAAACTTCACTGAGAGTGGACTTCACTTTCACTGACCGGTCTTACATAATGGACACATCCTCCAGGGTGTAAAGGACCTGTAAAGAAAGCTCATCATCATAGATATCTCTCACTAAAAAGCTCTCCCGGTATTATAGGCAAATTCCATATCACATTGCTTATGAATTTACTTACAAGTTTAACTTTGTAATTGCCTGAAGGTTTACATGGAGTGTAGTTGGTTTTGGCTTTTTCTGAAGCCTACAGAATGTAGAAATTAATTCCAATGCACAGAATGGTATATAATTAAAAAACAACATCATATATGGTTGGATCCTTGCTATTTGATGAATATGGTTGATTACTTACAAGCATATACATGCATATGCTTCCATAGCAGTCAGCTAAAACAAACAAACTAAACCAAACCAAACCAACTCAAAGTCTGTGATTGTGGAAGTGCTTGGCAGGTGAATAGCGCCATCTTATGACTAGCTACTTATGACATGATAAATCTAATTGAATGAGCCTTACACCAAGAATTTTAGTTATTTAGAAATGAATGAATAACTTCTTCACCTGTAACCTTTAGCCTTTCCATAAATCATGCAAGATCAGACAAAAATGTGTGTATTTCTGTCAATCAGCTATTTCAATTTCTGCATTTTAGTAATAGGTTGTAGATGTGTGGGACAAGTATTGGTATTAAGTCTGTCCTGTCAACAAAAAAAATGTTCAGTTACAGAGTAGTGAATAGCACCCTCTATTGGTAGAGAGACTACAGTATGGTTCATCTCTCTCTCTCTGTCTTTGTGACACATTGCATCTCGTTATGTCTAATGACTTGTGAGTGATCAATTGCACAGTGTCAGTGCTGCCCTCTACTGACCATTCTATGAAATGTTCTGCATTTGTGGTACTATTGAGATAACTAATTCTGTTGGAATTTTCATCACATCATATATTAATAGATTCCTCTGTACTTGAGTTTAAAAACCATACAGATGTTTGTCTTAAAACTCACATTTGGAGTAGGTAGAAGTAGTGATGTAAATGATGTAACATCAGAAATAACTAATTACCATCAATTTTTCTTTAATTCTGTACTCTTGAGTCCTGACTGTGAACAAATTCTTGTAAATTTCATTCACAGGGAGATATATTTAAAAGAGTCATATTTTATTCACCAGGAGCATATACTGATGAAAACCATCAAATTACAAGTATTTATTTTAATATTGTTATTGACAGAGTTGTAATTCTTATTACACATGCCATGCTTTTGTATGGAGAAGAGACCAACTATTTTTTTAATGATCTTATTTTTGAAATAAAATATGTCTTTTAAAAAAGCCATCTAGATATTCTATGATTCTTCCTCATTTATATTAATCTATCATATCATGGATTCCACATTCTTTCTTAGATATTAAATCCTTTCTCGGTTAGCTTACTGTTAAATAAGTAACTTACTCGTATACTTTAACACAGACTCAATGCCCTCCTGGCACTCAACAGACGATATAATCTGTTTGGAACCAGAAGGACCTTACTCATATACTGTAACACAGACTCAATGCCCTCCTGGCACACTCAACAGACGATATAATCTGTTTGGAACCAGAAGGGCCTTATTCATATACTTTAACACAGACTCAATGCCCTCCTGGCACACTCAACAGACGATATAATCTGTTTGGAACCAGAAGGACCTTACTCATATACTTTAACACAGACTCAATGCCCTCCTGGCTCTCAACAGACGATATAATCTGTTTGGAACTAGAAGGGCCTTACTCATATACTTTAACACAGACTCAATGCCCTCCTGGCACACTCAACAGACGATATAATCTGTTTGGAACCAGAAGGACCTTACTCATATACTTTAACACAGACTCAATGCCCTCCTGGCTCTCAACAGACGATATAATCTGTTTGGAACCAGAAGGACCTTACTCATATACTTTAACACAGACTCAATGCCCTCCTGGCTCTCAACAGACGATATAATCTGTTTGGAACCAGAAGGGCCTTATTCATATACTTTAACACAGACTCAATGCCCTCCTGGCACACTCAACAGACGATATAATCTGTTTGGAACCAGAAGGACCTTACTCATATACTTTAACACAGACTCAATGCCCTCCTGGCTCTCAACAGACGATATAATCTGTTTGGAACTAGAAGGGCCTTACTCATATACTTTAACACAGACTCAATGCCCTCCTGGCACACTCAACAGACGATATAATCTGTTTGGAACCAGAAGGACCTTACTCATATACTTTAACACAGACTCAATGCCCTCCTGGCTCTCAACAGACGATATAATCTGTTTGGAACCAGAAGGACCTTACTCATATACTTTAACACAGACTCAATGCCCTCCTGGCTCTCAACAGACGATATAATCTGTTTGGAACCAGAAGGGCCTTATTCATATACTTTAACACAGACTCAATGCCCTCCTGGCACACTCAACAGACGATATAATCTGTTTGGAACCAGAAGGACCTTACTCATATACTTTAACACAGACTCAATGCCCTCCTGGCTCTCAACAGACGATATAATCTGTTTGGAACCAGAAGGACCTTACTCATATACTGTAACACAGACTCAATGCCCTCCTGGCTCTCAACAGATGATATAATCTGTTTGGAACCAGAAGGACCTTATTCATATACTTTAACACAGACTCAATGCCCTCCTGGCACACTTAACAGACGATATAATCTGTTTGGAACCAGAAGGACCTTATTCATATACTTTAACACAGACTCAATGCCCTCCTGGCACACTCAACAGACGATATAATCTGTTTGGAACCAGGAGGGCCTTACTCATATACTTTAACACAGACTCAATGCCCTCCTGGCTCTCAACAGACGATATAATCTGTTTGGAACCAGAAGGACCTTACTCATATACTTTAACACAGACTCAATGCCCTCCTGGCTCTCAACAGACTATATAATCTGTTTGGAACTAGAAGGACCTTACTCATATACTTTAACACAGACTCAATGCCCTCCTGGCTCTCAACAGATGATATAATCTGTTTGGAACCAGAAGGACCTTACTCATATACTTTAACACAGACTCAATGCCCTCCTGGCTCTCAACAGACGATATAATCTGTTTGGAACCAGAAGGGCCTTACTCATATACTTTAACACAGACTCAATGCCCTCCTGGCTCTCAACAGACTATATAATCTGTTTGGAACCAGGAGGACCTTACTCATATACTTTAACACAGACTCAATGCCCTCCTGGCTCTCAACAGACTATATAATCTGTTTGGAACCAGAAGGGCCTTACTCATATACTGTAACACAGACTCAATGCCCTCCTGGCTCTCAACAGATGATATAATCTGTTTGGAACCAGAAGGACCTTATTCATATACTTTAACACAGACTCAATGCCCTCCTGGCTCTCAACAGACCATATAATCTGTTTTGAACCAGATAGGCATTGCTTGTATACTTTTATAAAGACTTAATGCTCTTCTGGCCCTCAACAGATGATATTATCCTCCAAAAACCTGACTCGTTTGAATTCACTGTACTTTACCATATGGTCATTTTCACAGTAAAGGGTGTAACTTTTCTCAAACAGGGTCAAAATTTCAAAATATGTTTTCATAATCATTTCTACTAAAATTAGTACTATAAGTGTCTAAATTATGGATTTTTTTTGGTTCTGGAGCTTAAACTACATGAGAAACCTGGAAAAATAATGAACAACTGTGACAAATATGATAAATTTGAACAAAAACAACATTTTAATTCTATCAACTTAAATGACAACATTTGTTCTCCAAACATAATTCAATTGCAATTTTTCATTTGCTATTCTAATGTACTTAAAGGCTTATAAAGCTTTTTGGGTCAAACTTATTTGGTCTTTAAAAAAATTCAATGCGTTTGTCAAATTCAAGATAAAATATGACTTTGACATTTAATTTTCAAATTTACCTATCTTCCAAGAGGGGGAGCAAAATAAAAATTACTCTACAAATACCATTCAGTGAGGGCTAATTACCATGCAAATTCCAAAGAAATCGCATTTCAAATGAGGAAGTTGAAAATTTCTTATGTGTGTGTTTCGGAGGCTTCAGGTTAACAAAATGCCTGTTTCGGAGGCTTCAATCATGTTAACATAAAATATTGTCCATTACTTAGGTAACATATTAAGAAAAATTCAACTTAAAACTGTTAATGATATGGTAAATTACTAATATAACACCTAAAACATTTGTTTAGAGAGTAAAAATACTTGTTAATATAAAGTACGGTACATGTATGTTACAAATTATCTTTACTTAATACGATGAGTTTTATGTTCAGTACACAAACATTGCAAAGTCACTTAATAGAATCCATGAGGATTTCAAATCTGTGCTGATACTCAGGGAATATATTGTCAAGTATGTAATTTCCAAGGAAATCACTTTTCTCATATCAAAGTTGAAACATTCAGGAAACATATACATGTACATGTATAGGATCAGTTCAAAGAAGTGTTTCGGAGGCTTCAAACATGTTAACACACTATATTGTCAACTACAAAGGCAATATACAAAGCGAAATTTAACCTTACTTTTGAAGGTTTGATGAAATCTTGAACTGTAAGTAAAGTACTTAAAATAATTGTTCACATAGAAACCATTTATGTTAATTCATAGCAATGTACCACTACCCTTCACTTGCGTCTTTGTCATCATTT